CCCCCCGCCACTTTTCAGATCACACACAGGCAGCTGGTTGAGTTCCCTCATCACATCAGAAAGCGACCGGTGCTCAGAGGGTCCTTGCTGTGCTGTCCGTGTGCACAGTGATGCCTGGTCCCATCCCAGTGTGGAAGCCATCCCAGGGCAGGCATGGCCAGAAGTGTCGCCGGTGAGACTCGTGGTCCATTCCACTGTGCATCTGGTCAGTCACCCTCATCTGTCAGCAACAGCTCCTGGTCTGTCCTGAGCACCATCTGTTTGCCCCTTTTGTGTGGCCATTTGCATCAGCATCCCAACAGGCTGCTTTCTTGGGCCTGAAAACCAAACCTCTACTCCTGACCCCCTTCCTGTCCAGATGCCCCCTGGTATTGCTCCCTTTAGTCCCAGGGACAATTCAGACGTCCCCACCCCATGCTTCCAGGTGTCGCCCTCTCCTCACATTCCTATTTCGTGAGCCCTTTCTCATCACCCTTTTGGGGTTCTCTCCTCTTGTCCAGCCTGTGACCTCCTGTGACCTTTGAACCTTGGGGGTCCCAGGGCATGGTCCTTGGGGCTTTTCTCCTCCCTCTCCGCTCACTCCCTTGGTCTGTGTGCTGTGACAGCTCGAGCCAGAACCTCCCCTTGAACTATAGTCCCACTTGCCTTCGCCTGGATTTGGGGACGGGGGGAGCCTCCAGGAAGCCAGAGTTATGGGAAAAGGGAACATCCAGGCGGTGTGTTCCTGAGCCAACCACAGCATCCCTAGAGAGGCCAGCCGGTTCCCCAACTAGCAGGTGACTTGGGAGGCTAGAAATAAGCCACGTGCAGGGAAAAGTCCACCCAGAGGAGGAAAGCAGCGCGACTTCTCTGCCGGCTGCTCCCTGCCTCCGATTCCTTTGCACCGCTGTCCTCTCTGGGGAGGCCCTGCCGAAGCCAGCACCCCTGTGGTGCTGGTTGGGGGAAGACGCTGAGCAAGCCACGCCAAAGGCTCTGCTTCTGCCATGCCTCTGCCAAGATGCCATGAGCACAGAGATGACCAGGGCATTAGGACCCCAGGGATGGGGCTGCTTGTTACTGGTCCATTCCGGCTGGGGGCCACGCCTGGGAGCGGATCTGGGAAGATGCCCCAAGCCTGCTCCACCCACAGCCTTCTCCAGGGCACTGATACCCAGAGCAACTTCATCCTCCCAGCTGCTGGGGCCCAAACCCCACGGTCCACTCTGGCTCCTTTCTCTTGGCTCTACTGCTACCCTGAGGCAAGCCTGCCTCTCCGCGGTCACATGCCTGCCCTCCCTGCTCTCACCCACACCTGCCTCAGCCCAGATCCGCAGCCAGAGGAACCTTTGGGAACTCATCTTGCCATTCCCTGGCTCCAAATCCTCTGAGACTTCCCCGGCTCCAAATCCTCTGAGACCTCCCCATCACGGGAGGTAGGTGGGTGTTGAAACAAAGTCCTTGGCGGGACCTTGAAGATTCGGCGCCGTCTGACCTCCCACTCACCTCTGACCTGCCCTCAGCTCCAGCACTCGGCTTCCGTGCTGTTCCTGGGGCTTCCTGGGCTGCTCTTGCCCTGGGACCTTGCCCTCCTCTGAGCAGAACTTGGACAGAAGGAAGCAGCTGCCCAGGGCGGCGTGGACAGGCCCTGTCCCTCGCCGCAAGTCCCAGCACAGAACACACCGAAGCCAGGCCCTTGGTCACCTCTCCATCATTTTATTTTGGTCTCAAGCTGAGGCTGGCCCCACACGCCTGCGTCAGGCCTGGTACAGGTAAGTGCTGGACAGGAGGCGGGCAGCAGCACTAGTGGAGCCTCAGAGAAGCCTGCCTGTGCTCTCCCCGCAGGGACCGAGCGGGGGCGGGGGGCGGGGGGGTGGGCCTCAGCCCCCAGGCCTCTTTTCCCGAATTACTGACAGCACTCAGCCTACGGAGCTGCGGTCACTGCAGCAGTCTCTAGCTACATGGTGGGGAGACCATGGCCCAGCCAGGCCCTTCACTTTCTCGTGCAGGGAAGTGGGCCCCAGGGCGTGGAGGCTGCATTCTGAATGGAAGGCACAGCCTGCACTGCTCCTGCCTCCTTCACCTGCAGCCCCCGGGGCCTCGGCTGAGGAGGAGCCAGCAGGGCGTCTGCGGCAGGCACCTCCACTTGTACTCCAGACCTAAGAGGGAAAGGGCCCCAAGAGCAGTGTCTGGGGACCACCCAACTGAGACACGACAGGCTGTGGCTCCGATGCACTTTAATGAGTGCCCCGCCCCTCTCTAGCCAGGCTGCCCGCAGGCCCAGGCTGCTGTCCCACGGCTCTGCCGGCCACCGTCTAGTCGCAGGACCCATCCTTCCAGCCGTCACGCCAGCGCTCGTCCACTTGCGAGCAGTCAAAGTCCGGCTTGCCTAGCTTGCGGTTCACTTCATTGTGCAGGCCGCACAGCCACTGGGTGAAGCACGCCCGGGTGCGCGTGTCTGGCTGGTTCCTGCATATCCTGTGTGGTGGAATCATGTAGAGGATGGGGACGGGCGGTGGCCCCGCTGCCCCTGCCCCTCCAGCTCCTTGCCTGCTCCATCCAGGGAGGAAAGCTGGGGTGCTGCTGTCAGCTACACCCAGAGTGCCCTTGTGCTGAGACACAGGAGCTCCCAGAACAGGGCTGATCCTGCAGTGTCCAACAGTGACGGGCTCCTCGGCCAGCTCAGGCCCCCTTCCTGAGGAGCTTGGCAAACCCTGACAACAGCTCAGAGCAAGACATTAAGGCACAAACCAGGCAACTTTACAACCTCGTAACAATCAAGAAGTCTCCCCGAGCATCCCTGGCCCCAGGCAGTGTGTGGAAGGGGTGGGGCCAGCACAAAGGCATAACCGAAAACCAAACCTGTTTCTAGCACCTGGGGCCCCGGTGCATCAGCTTAGCAAGGGACCTGTTCCAACTGCCCAGGCTTCACAGGGCTGCCCTGGCCCCCACATTCAGCCCAGAAACACCTCCTGGGTGCCAAACAACAGCTCTTGGGCCCCCCATTGAGGAAAAAGGAACTCTAAGGAAGCAAAAGCAGTGGATTCTCAAGGTCTCGAGATCAGCAGTCCTGCTCCAGAAGTCAGGCAAAGTGGACTCCTTAACCTGCCCGGGCCTCCAGTGCTGAGCAAGGGACTTTGTAAGAGAAGCCTGGCCAGGCGCCTCTGGCTGTAGAAAGCAGCAGCCCCGGGCAGCTTGGCCTTTGAGGAGAAAGGAGAAGGCTCAGTGCATCCAAAGCCCACTGCTGGTGCTCCCTGCTCCGGGAAACCCTCTGTCACTTCTGCACCTACTTGTCCAGGCTCCCCTTTATGACATCAGGTAGGGGCCCCAAGCCCAGGCCGATGCTCTGCTGCCTACAGATGAGGCGGACACAACTTACCTCTTCCTTATGTCTTCGGCACACTCCTCACACGGGTAAAACTTGGAAAATAAATGTATGAACTGAGCCATGTCTTGCTGCTGTTCTGGGGTCGGCAGATCGGGGTAGTAGGCGGCCAGGGTGTGGAGGACAGCCCAGCTGTGGCGGCCCAGTTCCTCGCGATCAGGAGGGCAATCTTCCCTAAACTTGCTGTCCCGCTGCGGGAGGAGATCGACCAAGGGTCAGTTCACCTCCCTAGACCAGGAGGCGACAAGGCTCCCCTTTTCCCCGCCCCAAGACAGAGGCTCACTGTCTTGAGACAGAAGTCCTAGGCCACCGATCCGGCACACGTGTGGCTGAAAGCCTAAAGGCCGGCCCTCCCTCGGGGCAAGGTTTAGGGGCAGCCTACCCTGCGGGGCACATGTCTGTCAGGCATAGGGCCCGTGGAGCCCCTCGGCTTGGGCCTTGGGAGATCAGCGCGGGGGCCCGAGAACAAGCAATGTGTGGGGGCCGAGGGCGCGGGTGCTTGTGCGGGCCGGGACTAGGGGTCAGCCGGGCTCGCGGGCCTCTGCGGGTAGGTGGCGGCCCCGGGGTGCATCTGCACCTTCTGCTGCGTCCGCATCCACGTCTTGAAGTCCACGCAGGCCCGGCAGGGCCGCCTCCGGGACGTGTCCTCCTCGGCGACCTGAGAATCGGAGGTCGGCGCCGGGGCTGGCGTCGGGGCCGAGGCAGCGGCTTCTCTCCGCCCCGCGCCCCGGCCGCGCGCGTCCGTCACTAGGTCGTCCATCACCTCGGAGCGCGCGCCGCCGGGCAGAAACGAGAAGAGGTTCCCGCCGTAGAAGCGCCCCCGCTCGCCGGGCGCCGCCATATTGCCCGCGCAATGCCTGCCGGGCCAGCTCGGCCTCCAGACGGGCCTCCAAGACGGCCGCCCGGCCAGCGCGCGCGCCGCCGCCAGGGCAGGCGGTAATATGAGGACCTGGCGGGCGCAGGTCGGGGTCTGGCCGCGGGCTGGAGGACGGCCTGATTGGGGCTGGGGCTGGGCTGGGCTGGGGCTGGAGCTGGGGCGGGGCGGGCGGCCCGGGGCCGGGGCGGGTCCGTAGGGAGGTAGGGCTGGGCCGAGGACTGCGCTCGAGAGGCTGCAGAGCTCGAGGTTTGGGTCCCGGTCGGCGGGCGAAGGCCACAGCCCGGCCCGGCTGCGTCGCTGGGCCCGATCCGCGTCCCGAGCCCGGCTTGCGTCGTCCGTGGCGGCGCTCCTGCTTCCTCCAGTAGAAGAGCATGCGGCCAGGAAAACGCACGCGGCCGCGCGCTGACCCAGGCCGCGATCGAGGCGAAGTCCGGTGTTCCTGGGCCCAGACGCCCCCCATCGCTCTGCTCTGACTGGCCCCTGGTGCCCGCGGCCAGGGCTCCGTGCCTCAGAAGCCGGGCGCGCCCAGCGGCGGAGGCGCGGCGCCATGGCAACGAGGACGGTGCCGCACAGAGAACGGCGCGCGCTAGGGCCTGGTCCCAGCCCGATGACCGGCGCCAAGACAACGGGCGCCTGCAACGTAGGGGCTGTGCCTCCAAAGAAGGCAGGCATGGCTCTGGCTCCTCCTGGCCGGGAGTATTCGGATCCTACAGCCTGCGCGAAGGGGTTATTTCCACCTGGGAGTCGTCTCAGCTCTGTACTCATTGGTCTGTCATGCAACACGTGCCCATCTGTTCCTAAGCCCTGGTCTAGGGCGCTGGTCAGGTGGGCACAAGATCCGCCCCTCCGACCTTCTCAGCTCCTTGTCCAGTGGTCAAGACGGAAAAAGTAAAACAAAAACAAAAAAAGGAGTCATTACCTTAACAAATGTTCACTTACAAATTAGGACCATGAACAGGGCGTGGGTAAGTCAAGGAGGCCCCATTGAGGAGGTGTGCCACTTTAGCAGGGGCTCAAGGATGAGGAACGGGCTAAGGAGGCCAAGGCCAAGGTTGGAGATGAGAGGGTCTTGGCCTCACGGGCAAAAGTGGGTGGACATGACCTGGGGAAGGTGGTGGGAGGAGAGATCAAAGATAGCAGGAGCACGGGAGGCCTCATCAACTGCCCCTCTGAGCTGGGGATTTATTTTTAAGGACCATAGGAAGGTGCTGACAATTTGGGGCAGGGCTGCCCCGACCTGATCCCATTTCTCATGCTATTGGTTGGTTTCACTTGAAAAGAGAGCAAGGGAGGGGCAGTGGGGGGGTGGGGAAGGAAGAATCCTAAGCAGGCCTCCTCAGTGCGTGAGCCTGAAGCACCCTGACCTCACAATCCCGTATCATGACCTGAGCCAAAATCAAGAGTCGGACGCCTCAATGGACTGATCCGCTTCAGGCTCTGATGAGGGAGCATGAGGCAGACTGAGGGCCAGGGCACAAGTTAGCACACCCCTCATTCCCCAGGACATATGTGTGATATTCCTGCCTCTGGGACAAAAAAAAGGAAAATGGTTAAAAGCCCCCCACTCAGTTTACTAGAAGAAGGCAATCCTGCAATAGCCTAAAGTCCGAACTCAATAATCTTAATGCTATCAAGCCCATAGAGAAAATAACCTTACTTCCACAGTAGCTAGGCCTCCAATAATCTGTAGAGTTCTAGCATACATGACAATCTCATTCTAGTAACTCTCCCCAACTCCAGAAATGGTCACCCCACACCTATAGTGCAGCTCTTCCTACCTATGGGTCCTGTCCTCTGTTTACAAAATTGCTCTTTTTGCACCCAAGACGCCTAAGAATTTTCTTACTGCCAGCTCTCTGACCTTCCCCCCCCCCCCCCCCTCGCTACCCTAAACCTCATCACCCCCCATTCTCTACTTTGCAAGACTCTGAGAGTGGATTTCATGGGAGCCAGTGAGGAATACTGGGCATGGGAGGAGGTGCTGTCCAAGTGAGAGGTGAGGTGGGGCTTGGAGGAGAGGGATAGAAAGGAACCAGGGTTGCTGCTGGTGCCACAGGGTTTTCAGCTGGGGCAGGGAGAGGTCTCACAGTCTTCCGGGTCCCTGGCTGAATAAATCCGACTCTTCCCAGCTTTTCTGCTCTGTCTTCCCAAGGAGAAGGGTCTGCCCCACCCTGACTCCTGCCAGGCCAGCTGGGCCTCACGCCCCCACTGAGCTTATGTGACGGCTGGGCTGAAGGCACCCTGCAGTCTGTACCAGTCCACAGGGTGTTCATTGCCTGGCCAAATCCAGGAAGGCTGAGGGCTTCAGAGAGAGCCACTGGACAGATACACAAAGGCCTCTTTCTTTGTCAAGGCTAGGTGAGCCTTCAGGGAGGGCTGCCCCAGAGGCTAACCTCCTGGGACAGATTGGGGTTGGAGTCCCAACATAGAGCTGGTGGCCCCAACAGCAGGAAAGGCCACCATACTAGGGTTGGATGGACTCTGGTCCCTGTAAGGAAGCAGCTCAGAGATGGGGCATGTGAGCACGCCTCGCCTCCAGATTCAGCCTAACTCTTTTCACTCAGTTAGTCACCTCTGATTTTCAGAGGTTGTGTTCGCAGTAAATTGTGATAAATCAGAAATTCAGGAGTGCAGCTCTCAAACCGCCCTACTCACCACTCTCCCCCAAGTGCCAGTGACTGCAGAGATGGACCTCTTTTAAGGCCCCCCAAGTCACCCACCCCTCCCCAACACATCCAGAAAAATTGATATTAACTATCCATTGAATACAAATTTCTCCTCTGTGATTTGGGAACATTAAGAGGTCCTCCCTCCAATATGAATATTAAGCCAAAACAATGTTCACAAAGCTCTTAGCACTGGGTCCTTGGTTCCAGATTCCTCCCAGGAGTTCAAAGACAGGTCATGGAGCACCCCCGGAGGAGGACTCCCTAGTCCCAGTTCCAGAGCAGCACAGGGCGGGAAGAGCGGGAGAGGTAGGCCAGACCTGGCGGCACTTTGATGGCTTTCTTTCCTCCTCCTTTCTGTGGCAGACTCCAGGCCAGAGGGCCTCCAGCCACAGCCGTCCCCACCCCTCCACCCTCCTTGCCTCACCCCTGCCAACCCTGCTCCACCCCCCCCCCCCCCCCCCCCCCCCCCCCCCCCCGCAACCAGCCTCTGTGTTGCTGTCCCTCCACCCAGATCTTCTGTACTTTGGGGCACTGTGAGGAAGCTGTGAAGGACGGAGGGCTACAAAGACCCAGAGGTCTGGGATGTCCCTGGGAATTCCAATCAGTTTTCTCCGGTGCTGGGGAGTCCTCCTCGCCTCTCTGTGAGCAAGGTCAGTGAGCGGATATTTCTGCAGTGGGGTCAGCCGCCTCTTGCATAGCTCCAGAAGCCTGTCCGCGACTCTCGAGGCACAGCGATGGCAGGCCTGCACCCCGCACGGTGCACACTGGCCCTAGTGCAGACGGAGCGGCATCAGGTATGGCCGCCGCGGGTACCTGCCAGCCCCAAGGAAGGAGCGTGAAATTCCACCCAGCCCTCCAATATTTCCTCCCAACAGACATTTGCCTTCTGTAGCTGGTCGGATTCATTAGCACACCTTTGAAAGAGAGGAGCTGGGATGAGTTCAAGACACTCCATCGAGTGAGCCTGGGGACCCCGAACTGCCAGGCAGCAAGACTCCACCACGACCCCCCGCCTGGGCTGCTGCCTGCCCCACAAGGGCTGCCCAGCCCCAATGCACCATCCCAAGGGAACCCCACCCCCCCCAAGGAACTGGTGGACTCCTCAGAGACCGACCTGCCGGTTCTCCTCAGAAGACCTCATGAAACCTTCCCGGTAAGTGGGCCTGCCATGAGATCAGACCATGCTTCTCCCCAAGCTTCGCTGTGAGGCCGTGCAGGGATCCCCAGGAGGGGGGCGGTGCCAGCGGCCCGGCAGAGAGAACCCTGGGCAGGGGTCCCACAGCTCTGTTCCTGCCTTGCCCCAGACGCGACGCTGTTGCTGCGCAACACTGCTGCCCGCGCCTGGGCGGCTGCTGGGACCTACTGGCGCTGCTGAGGGCAGCGAGCACGCAGTCCCGGGATGCTACGCCACCGGTTTCTTTGCCGCAACCCCTGGACCTGGAGCCCACTGCCACCTGGCAGGGTGCCTGACTCGCCTCAACTCCCTGCCTGTGGAAGAACTTCTGGAGGCTGGGGGTGGTGGTGGTGGTGGGAAAGGCCTGGGTGGGACTCCATTAGGGGCTAAGGCTGGGCTGGACTGTGAGGGGTGACCCCTGGCTTGCACCCACTGCCCTTTCCAGTCTGGTGATCCTGCCTGCCCCTGAAGAGCTCAGCCCACTCCACCGACAGCCTCACCATCCGTGAAGCCTGCCTGAGCCTGCGCGCTGCCTGCAGCCTTTCAGCACCCAGGACATGCAGGGCCGCTTCAAGCATCGGCCTAGAGGCCCTAGACGTGCTGCTGCATACCCCTCAGGTAGGGCTGACCGACTGTGCAGACTCAGACCACCTGCCTCCGGGACCTCAGCAGGCTTAGACCTTGAAACCCCCGCCCGGCCTCTGCCCACAGGCTGGTGGCTGGTGGCAAATGAAGCAGATAGCATGGTTTCCTGCTCCCCTACCTGGGAGGAGCAGCCTTGGGCCAAGAGCAACAACCCCTAGGGAGTGGTGGTATGCCAGTGCCCTCCTCCCCACCCTAAGCCACCTGCCATCTCTGGGCAGCAAAGCTGAGTCACAGGAAACACCTAACAGATGGAGGAGATCGAGGACATGGGGCGACTAGGTGGTGGCAGTGACCCCATAGCACGTACTTGGTCCCCACAGTGAGCTGGAGCCCCAGTGGGTTTGCATGCTATCCATTACCAGGGGGAATGCCTTAAGGTGATTCTGTGGGAGACCGCGAAGTGGGGACCCCGGCCTCTGTGGCCCTGCAAGTGACCCCGAGCGCCCATTCCCAGGGCCCCAATTCTGCACTGCCCTCGCCTATGAGAGCAGTCACGAGGATGAACTGTCCGTGCCTGCAGGGGCTGAAGCTCTAACATCTGACCGGGGCTGGTGGCTGTGCAGGTGAGTGGGGGCGGGGCTGGAGCTGGGCCCAGCTTGGGGCGGGGCAGGATCCAGGGCTGGCCAAACTCTGCCCTCTTCACAGGTTCGGCAGGCGCTCTGGTCTTCTCCCGGCCGCGCGGCTGCGACCAGAGGGCCTGGGCGCTCTCCTGAGTAGACAGGGGCTCCACCGCGAGGCCAACGGTGAGGAGATTAGAGTGGGAGAGGCCCAAAGCTCCCCTGAGACCTCCCAGGCCGCGACCCTTCCCCCTACTGTGCCGGCCCGCCCCACGCTGAGCGCCATTCAGAGCCGCTGCTGCACCATCACCCGCAGGGCACTGCTGCGCAAGGACCCCCTTGAGGGTGTGTGGAATTGCGCAGAGGGCAAGCCAAACGCTCCAGACCCCGGGGAGGACTGATGCCAGCCACCACCATCAGGGCTGGAGGAGGAGCATGTGAGGGTGGGAGCCTTGGCGGGAAGGGCCAGGAAGCTATACTCCTCCATCGCCTGAGTAAAGCTCTTCTGACTGATCCACACCTCGTGTCTGCCTGTACTTAGGGGCAGGGCCTTTTGGGTCTTGGCCAGGCCAGGGCACAGGGGTGGGACCTGGGACCTGGGCTGAGACAAAGCCCCGACAGACACAGGGAATCAGGGTAGAAAAGTAATCTTTCAGCATGTTTCAGAGAGCAGAGGGGGCCACAGGCAGGGGGGGCAACTTCATGTTGTGCCACAGAAAGTCCAGGAAGGTGGCTGCCTGCAGTGTCCGGCTGAGTCGCTGAAAATGCCGCTCTGGAGGAGGACAGAGGGACGTCAGGGGGTCTGACCGGGCCGCGCCCTGTCCCGCTGGCCCCCTTCCCCCCCACCACCTACCAGTGTAGGGTAGCAGGGCCTCGAGTGAGGTCTGCAGGCCCTGGTAGGCCAGGAGCTCTTCTGGGGCCTCGTGCCGCAGGAGCACACCCAGCACAGCCTGGGCTTCGTGGCAGTGCCTGGAGTTGGTGTTCCACGTGACACAGAAGCGCAGCAAGGCCTCTGTGGGTGACAAGGACGGTCAGACCTGCCCGCTGGCTGCCTTGCCCATACTGGCCACTGCCCAGCCTGCCCTCCCACCCGACCTTTCTGGTCTCGTCGCAGCTGCAGCACTGTGGCTCCCAGCTTCTCGCAGGCCTCGGGGTCCCTCCGGATGGCTGTGGGGGGCAGGGGAAGAGGGGAGACTGAGTCCCAGGGAAGGGGCACAAGATGGACCCAAGACCCCGTCTGTGTGGCCCAAGGCGGCACTGACCCTGGATAACAGTCAGCACAGTGTGGGGCCGGTCCAGGGAGATGGCCAAGCCCAGTGCCCGCAGGTACCGTCTCTCATGGAGCAGGTTGTCCAGTTCTTGCTGCCTGGTGGGGGGGAAAACAGGGTCACTGGGGGACCTGGCTGGGACCGAAAGCGGAGCCATCCGAGGGCTGACTCAGGAGTCAGCACCCTGGCCCGAAGCACCTGCTGGTGGTGAGCTGTGTTGCTGCTCCTGCCTCAGTTTCCCCATGCCATAGAGCAGAGCTGAAACCTGTATACCCCACTCCAAGGGTGCGATACACAGGACGTGGTTGACACGGGGGTGGCACTCACGGGGGAGCTGGGCGAGGACCCCCACACTTACTTGACCACCTCCTCCTCCCGCTTGGCCTGCTCTTCTGCTTGCTCCTCTTCGGTCACATCCTAGGGTCAGAGCGAGATCGGACTGGCACTAGCATGCAGCCCTGCACCTCCCACCTCCCCCACCCCCGACCCCTGCCCCAAGCCTACATACCTTCCAGAGGATGACACAGGAGTCACTAGCACCGGTAAGGGCACGGTCGTCCAGCCGGCTGCAGTGCAGCCCCCAGACTTTGTCCTCGTGGGCGTCCAGAGTCTTCACACACTCGTTGCTCTTGATGGTCCAGAGCTTCACGAGACCATCAGAGCCGCTGGGGTCGGGATTGGGAGGGGGCTCAGTCCTGGGGCCCATCCGGCAGCAGACCCCCACCCGTATCCCCAGCCCCCGCACCTGGACAGCAGCTGTGTACCGCGGCTTACGAAGGCCACCTTCAGCACAGAAGCATCGTGCCCCTCGAACGTCTGCGGGATGGGGCGGGTGAGGGGGGGAGGATGTGAGCCGGCACCGGGGAGGGGGGCCGGGTCTGCGGTGGGGACAGCTTACCTTGAGGCAGCTGAAGTCCTGCAGCGCCCAGAGCTTGACGGTACCGTCAGCGGACGCGGTGGCCAGCACCTGGTCCATGGGCGAGAACTGGACACACCAGAGGCCACGCCGGTGGCCTGAAAAGACGCCCAGCAGCCGGCACTGCGGCAGAGCCCAGAGCTTGGCCGTGCGGTCCTGTGAGCCCGTGGCCAGCAGCTTGTCGTTGGGGGCAACAGCCACACTGTTGATATCCTGGGGACGGGAGCAGGTGGCGACTCAGACTCCCATCCCGGCAAGGGCCCTGTCATACCGTGCCCCGATGTGCCACGTGCTGTCACCTTGTCATGGCAGCGCTGTGTGGCCTGAGCCTGGAGAAGGACAGGACCGCTGTCCGAGGATGCACCCTTGGACAGCAGGGCTTCAGGGATAGGCCACAGCTTCACGGTGCAGTCCTGGCTGCCCGTCACCAGGAAGGTCTCCTTCAGCCTGAGACCAGATTTGGGGTAGGGGGAGACACCTGCTGAGTCACGGCCAGCCCTGTCTACCAGGGCATCACAGCCTGAGTCTGCAGGATCATGGTCCCAACCAGGGGGACCGTTCCAGAATGCAGACAGCTTCTGGACAACCCCACATGCCTCTGGAACCACTTAATTCACACTCTCCACCACCTGCCCTGGGTCCACCGGAGTTGGTGACTTTGTCACAGTAACACCCCACCCGGCCCCGGCAGAAAAGGTCTTCTTTGCCCGAGCCTTGCTCAGTGTCGTTCTTTATGACCTGAAACCTCCCTCCCCTTCCTAGCTTGTAAAGTTTACTTTGAGAGAGAGAGAGAGAGAGAGAGACAGAGAGACAGAAAGTAAGACAGCATGAGCAGGGGGAGGGGCAGAAAGAGAGGAAGAGAATCCCAAAAGGCTCCACACCACGGGGTTCAATCCCATGAACTATGAGATCAAGACCTGAGCCGAAATCAAGGATGGAGGTTTAGCCGACTGAGCCACCCAGGCGCCCCAAGCCTCCCCACTTTTATTCACCCAGCCCCAAGACCACTTCTGAGGCGCCTCTACTTCCAACGGCAACCGGGGGTGCCCCTGGTGTGTTGTGATATATCCCCAGTCCTGAGCCTCAAAGATCAAGGCCAAAGCCTTCCCCCAACACATCCCCCTGAGCTGGACCCCCATTAGCAGGGTTCTGCAAGAGCACGGACTCCAGCCCTGACCCACTACCTAGAGCAGCAGATCGTGCCCACGCTGTGCGTGTGCCCGGAGCCCTGAGCCACACAGGCCACCTTGCCAGCCTTGTTCATCCTCCAGATGCAGATGCTCTGATCCTGGGAACAAAAGGGGTGAGGACAGAGGCTGGGCTGGACTTTCCCACCTGGGACCCAAGCCTCCAAACCTCTCCAGATGCCTTACCTTGGCACAGCTGGCAAAGAGCCGCCCCTTCCGGAAGACATCCAGGGCCAGGACAGTATCTGGGAGAAAGCAGAGAGAAAACGGCCATCGATTACGGTAAAGGAGGGCAGCCCAGCCCAGGACGAAGCGCTGGGGGCATCAGCTCGGCTCGCTCACCGGTGTGGCCGTGGAGAATCTGGCAGGCCATTGTCTGGAGCTCAAACACTTTCAGGCTGGGGCTGTTGGAAGCCACGACGATGTGGGAGTCTTCGGGCCCGAGAAACCGGACGTCCAACACCTCCTCGCTGTAGCCGGCAAACTGGGGGTGGTGGTGGGGGAGGACAGGAGGGACACAAGCCAGAGCCCGCATGAGTGGAGGGCCGGCCCCCGCAGGCCTCGGGCCCGGCAGGGGCGGAGCTCACCTGTTTCCGCAGCTGCAGGGAGCGAGCCTCGTAGAGCAGCAGGTTGTGGTCGGCGGTGACGCTGACCAGCAGGCCGGCGGAAGGGGCCAGAGCGCAGCGGGTCAGCTCCTGCTTGGGGCCCGGCAACTGCCGCTGTGTGTACACACACTGCCCGGAGGCCGCCTCCCACACGCGCAGCAGGCCTGTGTGGGGGCAGGGGTGCTGGGATTCGAGTCCACGGACCTCCCCCAGCCCCCGCTGCCCACCCTGGCCTGGCCCCGCACACCTTGGTCTCCGGCTGTCAGGAAGTGCAGGCCCTTGGACTTCACGCCCAGCTCCGGTGCCGGCTCCTCGGGCAACAGCACGGCGGCCTCCACACTCTGAGAATAAACAGGTCAGACAGGCAGACCCACCCTCTCCCTGCCCCCTTTACGGGCCCCAGCCCCCCGGAGCCCCCACCTCAAACACTGGCACAGTCTTCGTGGCTTGGTGGGTCCGGAGGTCCCAGACAACGCAGATTTTGTCCCGGCCCGAGCTGGGGGTGGGGGGGGTGGGGGGGGTGACAGCCACCTCAGTTCTCAAGTGTCAGCTGTAGCCCTCCACTTCCCGTGTGGCCCAAGAGGCTGTCCGCTGACCTCAGCATGGAGTGGCCGTCCGCACTGAAGGTCAGTGAGGTGACGGCACTGTAGTGCGCGGTCATCGTGGCCAGGCACGACTGGTCCTGTAGAGACCACATGCGGATGGTGGCGTCCACCGCCGAGGAGAAGAGCAGCAGGCGTGCGGGGTCCGGGTGGAAGGCCACCAAGCTGCAGGCACGTGGTGGGGTGGGGCAAGTGAGCTATGCCGCCCTGGGCCTAACGCCCCGCCCGCCCTGCTGGACCCCGACTCACTGTACGACCCCCGATGACCCCCGAAAGTGGTGCGTCCCGTAGTGCCGCACGACGTCCCAGACACGCACTGCCCCGTCGCAGCCGCCTAGGGGAACGTGTTTGAAGTGAAGGGGCTGCTGTGCCCGAAGACCGCTGACCGTGCGCCCTCCAGCCGGCCCGGCCACCCAGTCAGGGCCCTACCTGTGGCTAGCAGCGTGGAGGTGGGGTCAAAGGCCATGGCGGCCACAGGGGCCGTGTGTATCGCCTTCCACAGGCGGGTGATGCTGCCCTCTCGCCAGGCCCACTGAGCCAGAAGCAGTGCCCGGCTGGCTGTCACCAGCACCTGGAGGAGGATGCGGTTCAGCTGGGTGTGTGGAGGCATGGCCACAGGTCCTCAAAGTTGGACCGAGAGGTCCCAGAGTCCGCCTCCCGTCCCTGCGCCACGTACCTCGTCATCTGGGCTGAGATCGAAGGCGGTGATGTCCTCCTGGTCCTCCTAGAGGCGAGAGTTGGCACACGGTACCGTGAGAACAGGCTGCCCCCACACCTGCCCCCTGCCCTGGCTCTCCCCATCCTCACCTGTTCCAGGCTCCGCAGCACAGCCCCCGAGGCCACGTCCAGGATGTTGACTCTGGTACCACAAACGCAGAAGAGATGCTGCCCAGTCTGGTCCAGCTGGTGACAGAAGGGTCTTAGCCAAGACAGCTCTCTGCAGCCCCTGCCTGCCCCCGCACTCTGCCCCTCCCCGGGCTGGTACCTGCACCTTCCCGCCCTTGTAGAAAGGCTCAATCTTGCGCTCGACAGCATAGCTAGAGGGATGACAGGGAGGGAAGACAGTGAGTCACCAACCCCTTGGTCCCGGGTGCCAGCTCTGTGCTGGGTGCTCTCCCAACAGGACCCTGCCCTGGAGGAGATCCCAGGCAGAGGCATGGGAGGTCAGAGGTGGCACTTCTGTCATCTTCTCTCAGCAGCACTGTGGGATGGATGGGTGTTGGTTACCCCCATGTCACAGAGAACGGGACACCCGGAGCTGGGCAGTGATTCACGCCAGGTGTCAGGCAGGAGGACAGCAGCCCAGGCTTTCCGGAGATTCCCCAGAGCCTAGAAGGCTGTGCCTTGGGGGCCCCCTGCTGGCTGTGGGAGGCCAGCTCAGGGTACCAGCCTGGAGCAACAGCCATCTCCCAGGGCCCTCCAGTCCCAGGCCCAGGCCGCCCCTTCCCCAAGCCTGGCCCCTTCCTCCCACCCACCAAGTAGCCTTCATCTGTCGCCTCCTCCCTCCCCCCGCTGCTGCTTCCATGCTGGTCCAGGCCACTGCACTCTCATCTGGGCAGCTGCTCCAACCTTTTCACCAGGCCCCTATCTCCCACCTCAAGGGCTGCTGCCAAAAAGGCCTTTCAGAACACACCTGCTTAGGTCACCACCTTACAGATTTCCGAGACCCTGGCTGGAGGAGCCTCTGCTGACCTTTTCTGTGTCACACAGGATGTTCCCTGCGTGTGGCTTGGGTCTCTCTTCCTGGACTTCAGTGGTGCCTGGCTAACTCCACTGGGGGGAAGCCTGACAACCAAGATGAAATGGGAGTCCCCCAACCCCCGAACCCAGGTGGCTATCCCACAGAGATGTTCTTGGCACCAGGCGTTGCTCGTCACTACTAGTGACAGAAACGATGTGCTTGACATGTTTCTTCTATCACACCGAGCCCCCACGGAGGGAATGAGTCTGTCCGGTTCACCAGGATGGTCAGGGGATCTTGGGGAATGAATAAGCACAGGATGCGGGGCCTCCAGGGCCACGGCGGACCCGCCCATCTCCAGTCGTGTTGAAGAGGGACAGCGGGTGAAAGCCTCCAGGCCGCCTGCCCCAGAGTGGTTCTTCTCCCGGTACCTGAGGGTCGTGGCGTCCCGCTGCCGTCCAGGACCAGCCGCGACTTGTGCTCAGCCCGACCCTTCCTCCTCTAGACTTTTTCATCCACAACTCCTAAGCCAGCTCCTGATGTAATAACCGAGGCTGGCCCCCCGACTTTGTAATAACGCAGCCGCCACGACCCCTGAGGGGCAGTCCGCACACCGCCCTCAGGCTCTCCCCAGGCCCGAATGGGCGCCCGGTGCAGGGCGGGCGCATTTGCTATTCCTGCTGCGAACCTCGCTCCCTCCCTGGGCGGCACCCGCAGCCGCAGCGCCCCGGCTCACTTGGCCTTGAAGCGACCCACTCCCGCCACGGGCTCAGCCATGTCGTCGTCGTCGTCGCCGCCGCCGCCGCCGCCGCCGCCGCGTGAGGGAACCCGGCTCGCCACTTCTCACTGCCGGCGCGCTGCAGATGGCGTCACGGCCCACGACTATGGCGTCATCAGCACTGTGCGCTCGGCGCCATCTTTACTGTGGGCAGCTTCCGCGTAAGGAAGCGGAAGGTGCGTTTCTGGCCTGGAGGGGCGGGGGTAGAGCGGCGTGGAGGCGGCTGCGGGCGTTGGGCACGGATGGCAGTTACGGGGTTTGCACGCTGTTTGCCTTTTAGTGGAAATTTTAAAAGAGAGTCGTAGAAGATGTTTACTGAACTGATCCCAAGACTCCTGCCCCCTCGGCATTCTGGGATTTGGGGGCAAGTGCGGTCGGGTGCGGTCAACTAGGTCCGGCCTCGGGGCTCACGGTCTGGTGAGAGATGTAACGCCCGTAAATGACTAGACCTCGTGACTTCGGAGTCTCTCAAATATTTATTGAACACATTCTATGTGCAAAGCTCTGGCGCAGACATTTGGGAGACACCAGAGGAGAAAAAACAAAACAAAACCTTGCCTTCAAGCAGCTCAGGTGCTACAGGGGAGAAGGGTGGGCGAAGGAAGGGCGAGAAATTAGTGCGCTGGATGGAGCGGAGTGCAGGGGGTGCACTTTCACATGGGGTGGTGGGAGAGGATTCATCGAGAAGGTGACACCTGAGCCAGACCTGAAGCTGGTAAACATGGACCCCTGTGGCTATGTGGGGGAACAGTGCTTGTGGCTCCAGGGAACTAGCAGGGAGGAGAATGGAAGGGCAGGAGGTCGGAGACAAATGGGGGTTCCTCGTGAGTCATTGTGAGGCGTTGACTTCTAGGAGTTCAGCGTTTTGAGCTCTTTGTGTGATTGGCTGTGAAGCTAGTAAGCAGATCCCTTCCCTGGGAGAGGATCAGGGGAAACCTCTATGAGGAGACATCCGAGGGAAAAGAAACCAGGCAAATGGAGAGCAAGGAGAAGAGCCTTCTGGGAAGAAGAGGTCCAGGGAGAAAGGTCGTCGTATCCCTGCGGGGTGAAGGCAGTAGTGCCTGGAAAGGGGGCAGGGTGACAAATGGGATAAAGCTGCGAGGCCAGCAAGCACAGAGGTGGCAGGGAGGTGGGGCCAGGCCTGAGCTCCGCGTTTATTTACGTCTCTAATTACAAGGTACCTAGGCCCGGAGCTCCCCACACCTCGGCCCCAGTGCTGCCTTCTGGGGTGGCCTCAGTCTCCTCTTGCGGGGTGCCCGCGATCAGCGCGTCGTCCTCCCGCAGGAAGTCCCGGAGCTGGGCCAGCTGCCTGCGGATGAAGTTGGTGGCGTGGTGCACCTTGCGCACGCGCCGCAGGAGACCCAGCACCAGGCTCCGGCTGCGCTCCTGCCGCTGGCTCCAGGCCTCACGCAGCTCCTGGTAGCAGTTGTGGTGGGCACGCTCCACCGGGCCCAGGGTGGCCCCACAGCCCAGTGGGCAGTGCTGCTGGGCCCCATGCTGGCAGTGCTGCCGGTGCTCAGCCAGGGCCCCACGCAGCACCCGTGCCGGGCAGCCCTCGTTGGGACAAGCCATCAGCTCAAAAGGGCAGGAGTCCTGGTGCCCCCTGCGATGGGCCAGGGGGCATGTCACTAAGCAGCCAGCTTCTGCGTTCTTGCACTGGAGGTAGGGAGAGCACCATGTGAGCCAGGCCAGCTTGGACACTGCCAGCTCACGAGCGGCCTACCTTCCACAGACTCCCCCATCCGTCATATTGAACTGGGAGACTGCCAAGCCCTAATGGCATGAATGATGAGGAGAGGGAAATCGTTGGGCAAATGCTTGGAGGTGGGAAGAATCGAGATCTCTGAGGCACAGGGCCTGAGGCTTGAGGAACCGAGACATCTATAAAAATAGGGGGCGGGGCGCCTGGGTGGCGCAGTCGGTTAAGCGTCCGACTTCAGCCAGGTCACAATCTCGCGGTCCGGGAGTTCGAGCCCCGCGTCAGGCTCTGGGCTGATGGCTCAGAGCCTGGAGCATGTTCCCGATTCTTTGTCTCCCTCTCTCTCTGCCCCTCCCCCGTTCATGCTCTGTCTCTCTCTGTCCCAAAAATAAATAAATGTTGAAAAAAAGTTTTTTTTTTTTTAAAAATAGGGGGCTGGAGAGTAGTGGCCAGCACAGCAGACACTTCATTCTCTAGAAATTTTGTAGAATCCCCATTTTACAACTGAGGCCCCAGGGGCTCAGAAAACTTAGGTAACTTGCCTAAAGTCACACAGCAAGTAAGTGACAGAGATGTGACTCAAACTCAGGACTGATGACCCCCAGGCTTCAGTCTATGCTGCTGGAGCAGAAACCCTCCGGTCTTTCTGATAGGATTCTCCTTACCCCTCTCCTGGCTCTCCCCCTGCCCTGGCAGGGGCAGAAGGGTGGTGGGAGTGGGTGCTTCAAGCTACCTTGACTTCCAAGCGGCCAATGGTCCTCCGAAGTTTATTTACATGGACCATCTTTTTCCGTTTCACTTCTCTCCTGCAGCACGGACAGGTCTTTTGTCTAGGAGGCATGAGTTGGGGGGGGGGGGGAAGTGTTGGGAGTGGGAAGGACCAGTTGGCAGCAACATGCCTTCCCAGGAGGTCCCTTCTCAAGCTGGAAGAGACATGAGGGCTTCATAGGGAACTTGGCTCTGAGGCTGGAGCCGCAGATCCCACAGGCTGCAGGGGCCCACATATTTTTATGTCCCAGGAGATTTGGCAGTGGACTCTTCTGGCCATTGTAAGTCACTGCTCGGCAGGTCTTCCTCTCTATTCCAGGCCACAGCCTTGCTCCTGCCCTCCCAGCCTCTCGGGGACCCACTAGCACCTGGCTAGCCACCGGAGGATGCATTTCTTGCAGAAGATGTGGCTGCATGGCAGCCTCACTGGCCTCTTGAGAACCCCGTGGCATACGGAGCACAGGAAGCTGCAGTCGGGAGGGCTGGCGAAGAGGTTGAGATCATATCCGCCACTCTGCAAAGGCCAAAATCAGGGCCTGGCTGGGACCAGGATCGGACCGCGTACCCAAAGGGAAACTCCAAGTGGAGGGTCGGGTCAGCATCCATTTTGAGGGGGCAGCTGTGAGGGTCAAGACAACTACCAGTCCCTGGCTGGAACTGGCCTCGGCCTGGAGTTAGACCTGACCAGAGCCCTCGGAAACGTTGGTTTTCTAGTCTCATTTGGGAACCTGTTACCCAGTGTTCACACTCAGAATAAGGAACGGGGTCCAGCTCTGGAGTTAGGGACAAACTTAAGGGCCAGAGGCAAGAGGGTCCCATGCTCACCATGATCTGTGTCTGGACAGCAGCTCCACTGACCCCCAGGGATCAGGAGCCTCCATTTCACAGCAGGAGTGGGCCTACATCACAGTGGCATTGTCCGGCTCAGGCCAATCACAGCCTTGGTCCAGGGCCCACTGGTAGGTATTCTGTACCATCTAGCCCTTGCTTATAATTGAGAGATAGGCAGTGTGGACCGGGGGCAGGTGTCTGGAGCCTCTGCCTGATCCCCAGGCAGTACCAGGCCGGGAACCAAACTTCTGGGTGCTGTTTTCCCAAAGCTGAGGCTTCGGCAGGAAAGTAGGAATCATTCCCCTACCCTTCCTCAAATAGTGCTGCTCAGGCCCGATGTCCAAGAGCCCAGGACTTTTCCCACTGACCCACCAGCAGGTCTCTTAGGATCTAAGACATCTAGCTCCAGAGTACAGATGAGGGATGTCAGGACCAAATTCCCATACAACCTGTGGTACCACAGTAACGGGGGGCCTAGTATGCAGAAGGGTGTTCCAGAACAGGGAGGCTCTATTTGGGCAGGCCTAGGAGGAAAGACATGTGGAGACCAATCTCAACCTGGGAAACCAGGATGTTCCCACACCCGAGGCACATTACCAGAGAACTGTAGGTTCACTACCAGAGTGTTAAGCTCACCAAATCCTAAAGACCCTATCCCCCTCCTGAGAACAACAGGGGGCCACTGCAAGCCTTTGAGCTGGGGATCTTACACTCTGATGCTATCAACCTCAAAAATAAAAATCAGTTATTTTACTAGCAAAGGGAAATTCTTTAGAAATCACAGAGAATTGCAATTCAAGACATGCAAGCTATGCTAAAACCACAACCAAAGCCAACAAACAAAGGGAATCTTTATTTTGTGGAAAGAAAAAACCGGGAGAGTTTTTTTTTGAACCAACGTCCACCGGACAAAAGGAAGAGTTCAGGGTGATGGCGGTTTCTCACTGGCTGAGTCGCACGAGTGATCCACACAGCTTTCCCTGATAGGGTCTGTAATTGATATTAAGCGGTAGGGCTCCCCCTTCCTCACTCCCCCCCACCGTATTTTAGCCTTGTTTCTCTGTATTCTCACTTTCTGGTGGTTTGCTGGCCCAGCCCAACTCACCACCAAGCTCGAAAATACTTTGTCTGCTCCTGGACAAGGTATGGGGTGTGGAGGGGCACACCTGGGTCTCCAATGTAGTTCTGCCACTTACAGAATGACTAATGAGTCACCTGCCACCTCCGAGAGCCACGGTGTACCCGTCTACGCCATCCAACACAGAGTTGGACTGGTCGCGAAGAGGAGGTACCCCAGAGTCTCATCCCTCCACAAACACCTTGCTCCCTGCGTCCCAGAGATGCACCTCCCAGGCTGATGGCTGGGGGGGGGGGGGG